TTTAGATGTCGGAATTATCCCCTAGTAGTGTACCCTGATTTGCATGTAGATGACCTGCACGTGTAGCACTCACAGTGAGAACATCGCTGGGGCCCAGCAGCCATGTTCGTTAGAGGCTCTTACTGGTTATGTACTGCAGTTCTGTTGGCTGCAGATTTCAATTATGCCTACGGGGAAAGCTGAAAGTTAGTTGAAGATTGAGGTCGGAATTCACGGACGATGGTTATGTTTTCCTTGCTTTGATTCTGACTGAGAATGGCTGCCGAGGGCATCTATAATTTTGACTGTTATGTTTGCCTATAAATTGTTGCACTATTCAAATTGCAGGCGATTTCGAAATGAGGAAAATTCATAATTTCCCTCGGATATATCGCATGCTGATATTCTTAAGGAAATAATTTCAATTCGGAACTTCTTTTATCCTAAGTTAAATAATACCATCATAAACTTCATGTATCAAACATATAGTCAACGTTTATTTGGGGTCAGATATATATAGGCATCGTTTGTTGGGTCACCCACTTTCCTAAAATTGATCACAGAACCACACAGCGGCACGGCCAAGCGTTGAAACTAATGGCCCGACACAAGCAGTCGCCTAATGTATGTCGAGTCTAAATTTGTCCTCGTCCAGCCATTCAAGTCACAATCTGGACAATTAACTTAATGCGCTCGACGAATTGCGTCGTTAATAACTGTTGCGTTGTATTGCACCTCATGAGTGCAGCTTCGCGCGCGACTATATTCATACTAAAAGAATTAATTCTTCTCGGCTTATTAGTAACATGCCTGACTGATGACTTTTCAGTTGCAGCCGTTCACAACGTAGGCTTCCTTGGGTGCCGTTTCGGCAGCCTGGGCAGGAAGTGTTTTATTAATGTTCTGAAAAACGCTGGCAATGACATTTATTACTCCCTGCACGCTAGATTTGATTGCAGCTATAGATTATATGGTCACAAGGTGTTGTATTTGCGTCGTGTACGCATAAATATTTCACTGCTATCGCTCATCTCGCAGCGGTCAGAGTGGACGGACTGCAAGAAGTTGAGGCGTCATTTGTGCGAAAATTGCGACGATGATTGTAATTTTTCAGTTGAAGTTTTTTATTTGCATGATGACTTTGAAACAAGAATCTCGAATTTTCATTACGAGTTAACGAAGTCAAGTTGAAATATTTATTTATTAAGTGGCACTTACTTCTTGGCATCAATATGAACAATTTTTAATACGAACAGCGAATGGTACGTAAGCCTTGTCTGTCGTGTCTGGGTCAATTCGCAACGTTCACCGTATTTAACGATGATGAAATTCGATGAAAATATTCATCAACTGAACCCTGGTTATGTATTTATATCGGTTTCATTTTTAGTTTTACATTTACAATTACCCTCTTCATAATCTATAATGAAGCAAAATTTAAAATAGAACACTGTCTTTCCATTCAAATTTGTTAAATTATGTCGTAAAAACGTTTTGAGTTTCTTCTATAGAATTGAATCACTTTTTAATATTCCAAGTTTGGTTTGGTCAGTCTTAATATTCCAAGACACGTTTTGCATCTCTCGCCAACCAACTCTTCGCTGATTTCAGTGATATGTACTGTAAATAGCCATTGGCATTTGCCATCCGCACAGAAAACCGTTAGAAGAACATCGGCGGCCATTCGGTGTCCGCGCATTGGCCATCCATGTTCCGCTTTTAAATTTAAAAAAATAACATTTAAAATTAAAATATCATGTTCTCCTATTAAAAACGAAAAAAACTTTACAGACGCAGAAAGTACAACCATGTCCTTAACATCATTAAGGAGGTTTTTATTTGAAGATGAACAATTGTTGTGTATCAACGAATGTATCCAATTTCCGTTCCGGTTGAATTTAAGAGATGTTATTCCTGCTTCAGTAGTTATAGCTTCTGGTGGTAGCAATTGCAGTGACTGTGGTTGCTCTTGTTGCTCCAGATGCTGCTACTATTTAGTGACGCTGGATGCAGCAGCTGTAGCTTGTAGCTGCCTTGAACTCCATATTGCCTTGGTATTTACTTGTACACCATCACTGCGCTGTCAAACCTCCCCGAACTTGCCCTATACGTACTCTGTAATAATGGCTCTCTGTACGCGCTTTTCATTCATTATTTTCCTCTTAATTCTTCTTATTTCCGTTAACTTTACCGAGTTCTCTGTCCCTGAATCTTTGTCTTATTTTTCCTAAAATTTCAAGCCAGTCATCGCCATCATCCTCTTTGCCAAACATCTTTTCTTTTATCCTGATGCTAACATCTTTTAACATATAGCCCGTTTTATCTCACAGGCCGTATTTTCCCTTTACTCGTCGCTTCAATTCTCGACTACATTTATAACTTTTACTCCTTTTACCCTCGTTTTCAATCATGTGTCGCGCTTTTTCATGTTTTCAACATGGTGAGTACCACTGCTATCAATTGAACAATTTTTATCCAATTATGTTTACTAAATGTTCTTCCTGTCTAATTTTCTCAAACTAATTCCACATTGCCTTCTTTTCCGAATATATCATCTTCAACAATAGTTACTACCTATTCCTTTTTGACCATGAACATATTAACAGTATGGATTCTGTTCAACACTTCCCGGAGTTTAAAAGATAGTAATTATTCTACTGTCTTTTAGTGGATCGTTAACAACCTCTTAGCTACTATGAATTACGTTATGGATTTGAATAGTGAAAGCGCAACTTATTCTTTCTTGCCTGTGTTTATGACAGGCAATTTTCCCTTCTGCATAAAGATGTGGTACAATGACCATATTTTCCGGCCATTGGATTAATAGTTAATCATAACAAAATTCTGGAATTATAACGATGGAACTCAAATACAATGATTCAAATCACACATGATCTTATTTTACCGTGAATTGGTGAATAATAAGAACAAATGTGACCTCCAATTCTGATGGAAATTACTGAATAAGTTTATTAGGTTGGTATAATGTAAACTTTGCAGCAGGATTATCTGTAACCCAACCATTGCTCACTCATATTATTGGCAAACGGCAAGAGCACAATAGTCCTATAGCCTGTTCCGTGTTCGTTTGCAGCTAACGTCTTGAAAGCTCTTCCAATCTCTTGCCTTTCGGCAAAATCCAAATGACTCCTGCCGGGCAGACATAAATTTTTAGAGAACAGTAAATACTGATCTCGAGGGTGCACGGCTCGCGGTGTCTGATGCCCGATCATGAACCGGTTGTCCAATAGATGCTTGAGAATGGCGCTTATTTGAACGTGATGAGACCAGTACTGATCATTAACTAACTCACATCAACCACATGTTGATCCAGCTTCAGTTGGAATTATTTCTTAAATCCAATCAAATCGATGATTATATGGAGCTATTCTTGAATCTTGCATTCATTTCCTAGCATAGATCCTATACCTAAACATTCCTTTAATATACACGTATATAACAAGAATTCCAAATTATGTATGTCACTAAATGCCCTGAAACTTGAATTTAATATGAATTGTGGACCTGAATGAATAACAACATTAATCTCATTTAGTTTAATTTTCACTAAAATTATGCACATATAACATCAATTAGAGTAATTAATGTTGAGTCTTTAATTGGCTTGCTCAATCATGGCCGCCTAGAAGCAGTCTCAACTTTCTTATTTAAAAAGTTATTAACACAGCGAACGCTTGGGAGTTTTGCAACGGGCGTACTGTTATAATCAAATGCTATAACATACGGGTAACAACAAAAAAATTAACTTTGAACATAACCTTCTACTGTGATAGAATGTGGTAGAATATAGGGGCTGATGCTTTCTCTATTCTTAGTTCACATATTTTCCAGCAAGTTGTAGTCGCGTTTAGAATGTCTAGATCACTTCCAGCATTTGAGATCAAAAAGTCAATGCAGATGGAGCGAACGCCATCGCTGTTGCCTGTTTCCAACGTAATTAAGCTCCGGACTACTGTTTAGCAGAGATAGAATTTTGATGTAGCAGTTATCTCGGTCATCAGACACCATTTATCATCGAGATCATCTCTTCTATCATAGGAGTTTTTTGATCCACCAGGCGTATGATCGCCCAGTCATTCGATATCGCACAATACCGGTTTGCTAATCATCTTGAGTGTGCGCCTGAGTCTGCGAAGAGGTTTCTCGTTCTGACATCAACGCAGATTTCGTACCAGGATGATCAGTATGCGCATTAAATCTGTTTATGTATAGCGCCCAAAAAATGCGCAGTCTTCCTTATAAAAAAGAACTTTTTATAAATGTAAAATACAGCAATTAAATCAATGCTTTTTTTGTTGGAATGGTGAGTGTGGGAGGCCTTTTTCTAAAAAAAAAGTTTTTATTTTCAACTATAAGTTGAAACGATGGTAAATTGCAATCCTCTGAACACAATGCATCATTTTGATAATAACGCCTATGGGATTGAAAGCCAATTTCGCGAAAGAGCACGTCAATAAGGTTGAAGAAGATATCAATTCCTATCGGATTGAAAATTTCGGCCCTGGAAAATGATCCAGTTAAAAATGCAATAAATCTTCTTAAATTCTAGCATGTAAAAGAATTTAGTGTAAATTATCTATAAAATTTGCGTATCATGACAATATACTATTCGCAAATGCGCTCGACACCCTATATCCCTGCATCACGATATCTTGCACAGCATTTACGGCGACATTATATAATTTCTTAATGAATGATTTGCATTTTCTGAAACTGATATAGGCTTTCTTTTCGGTTAATCTTAATTGGTCATAAACTTTGAAGGAGGAAATCCTATTATATTCGAATTCGTAGTTTAATCAAAATAAATCATATTTTTTGACACTTTAAATGTGAAAACTTAGCATTTTTATGTGTGAAATTGACTCACCATTTTTATACTTTCCCTTGATTAAAGACAAGATTTGAGTCTGTGGCAATCAAAATTTGTATCAATAATTTATTAATAATTGTTATCATTGTAACTTTGATTTAATAATATTATTCGTTGCGCCCCACAGAGCAAAATGGGAGGCATCCACGATCATCACCAGGGCTCCCCTTCTCCCATGCACAAAGGTAATCAACCTTCGAGTTGCGCAGCTCAGCGCTAATGCAGTACTGAGAACTCCCTCGAGGCTGTAGCCCCTAACAAAATTTAGAGTCGCCCCAGCTTCTGGTAATCCAAATCAGAAGCTGCCGCGTCTGTAAATTTTCACTGGGAAGAACTCCTACCCTAACAAAATTTAGAGTCGCCCCAGCTTCTGGTAATCCAAATCAGAAGCTCCCGCACTTTAAATTATGTGTGCTACGTGTGTGCTGGTGTGCATGGCAGTGATCTACTCTAACTACTTCTTTTAAGCAGGTTTCGTTGAAGACCAGGGAAAATATCGTTCGATCTATTGAAAAAAAAAACAAATAAGAAAATTGCCAATAAAATGAATTCTCTGGTCTTCAACGAAACCTGCTTAAAGGAATAACTTGTGCCAACCTATACTAATATCTAACTACTACGTGCACTATTTTCTCTCCTTCTATTCTGAATAATTAATAGCGGTACTTTAATGCATGAGAGAACTCAATCACAAAAAAAATTCAATAGGTCATTGACGTTGGATATGAAGTTAAATTCATCATAGAATTCAATACCGGTTATAGAATGAAATTAAAATCTACTCGTGAGCTGGAACGTCCGCTGCTCTTCATCTGAATCATCTCGAGAGATAAATTATCTCAGAGAAACGCAAATATTTGCAAATATCATCAAAAGGCTGTTTTAAAGCGTTCACTCGTCCCGAGCTATAAGTATACAAAAATTTCAAAATCGTCTTAAAAGTGTGACGATTTTTCTCATCACTCATTAATTGCTTCTTCTTCTTCTCTCAGCCCAGTTCAAAGTCGATATCTTTTTTCAGCTAAATTTATGTATTACTTTCTCCTACGTTTTCACCCTCCAGTACAACATCGCACTGCCACTTACTTCACAAATGTTACGCAATATTTGTCTTATTTTTATGTAGCTGCTATAGAACATAGTCTAGTATGTCTCTGGTGCGTGTAATGGTTCTCTTCGTTCCAATGACTGCGATGAGAAATAAGAAAATTATAACTTTGGTCGGGGAACTCGCTGCTAATTGAATTATTATTCCTGATTAAACTGTGGAATCAAATCTTGCATTGTGTCCCAGTAGACCATATGCAACAAATGATGATGATATATAAGAAAAAATCGATTATTTTGTAGCGAATTGAATTATGTTCCAAGGCAGTTAATGGTAATTCAAACATTTATCTCATTTGAGGACTAAATCATTTTAATTGAAACGCTGCATAAATCATATAAAACATTTTGGAGTAAAAATTTTAATGACGTATTTTGCGTTTGGTTTCAACCGATTTCAAAAAAATTGTTTTCCCAACTTACTGAGTTCGAAAAATCCGAATTTTCCTAATCCTTTTTCTATACGACGATAGTTTCAATGTTATTCTTCGAATGAGTTGTGCATGCTTGTGTGTGAAGTCATTTTTTTCCGAAATGAACCGATAAAAATATTTACGATATTCACTCTTCTTTTTTTAATCTTCGGACTTGCATGACCTGAACACGATAGAATTATTCATGGCCCTTTAACAGAGACAGATGAGTATCAACGTTGATCAAAACCAAATAAACTTATCAAATTAGCCGATTTTGTGCTTAGAGCTTCTCCAGAAATAATGTATAAATGTTTAAAAGTTCTTACAAGTGCGCCGCATATTCATACGCGTATTTAATAGTAAGAAGTTCGTGTTGCGGTCTGAACAGGTAAGTTGCATGATGTGCCCGACTGAGGGTATAGTGACCATATAAGAGGGCACATGTTGAGGGTAGTCTTTCCTTCAAAGGTCACGGTCTGTGACTGTGCGCACGAGAATGTAATCTAATGTATGAAGTAGCACTTTTAATATTGATTGTTATTTGTATTTTATTGAACCTGTTTATGATAATCGCTTATGATGTTTGTAATCAGTAGCTTTCTTTCATTTTCTTTAATCCTTCCCTTTTTAGATTGAGCATGAAAAAATGGCATCGGTTGCATGGCTTTCACTATAAACTGGGATCGCATGCGAACACTAAATGCGATGCTTCACTAAGCGAACATTGAATGACTAGCAGTAGTAATTTTACCAGTTATTTTAATGCATGTTTCAGAACTAACGGCTACGGAAGAGTTCTTAGCTAGAATGTATTGGCCTACAAGTTTCTATTGCATTGACTGGAGCTGTGTGCACTGCGGTGAGTATAATATCCTTTAACTTTACTGTATCATCTGAAACTATTATAAAACTAAGTATGCAAATGAGTTTTCATATTATGTGCAATGAAAACACCATAACTAAGAATGAGTAATGTAGCTATTTTCAAATTTGATTACAAATTAATTATATAATATAATCTAAATTTCGGAATTGTTCGTACATGGCAGACGTGGAACCGTGCCCCGAAGTTTCAAAACATTAACCTTCATAAGAAAGTCCGATCAAAATGTGTTTATTATTTCCGTTTGCTCAATTAAATATTTCCGTTTTGCTCAAATTAGTTATATGTATGCGCAGTAATCAAAATTGATTTGCTTGAGTTTGACATTATTTTTTATTTGGTACTATGTTTTTCTAATTTCTCATCTACTTTCGTTCACTACTTTCCTCTCAGCTATGCTTACCACTGAAAATTTCTACAACACATTTAAATGAACTTGAATAGTTAGAGTAGGTTAGAGAAAGACAAAAGTTTAAGACGGCATTTGGCCCACACAGAACACAATGTATAGGCCAGCAGCTGGCTCGTTTACTACCTGCACGTTTATGACCTGCCTCAAGTTGAGAAAAATTGCGCACGTGGCAATGTAGTAAGAAGTTGGCCAGATAATGATATTCACATCACAAGAACTTGTCACCAGGAAAACGATTCTGCCGAGAAAAAATATCAATGCAGCAAATTTATGGGCAGCAGAGTCACCTGTAGTCCCAGTTAGGCAGAAATTTATGGTGCAAATGAGAAATTTTCATAAAAAAAATAAATAAAAACATTACAAACAATTTTTGAATGAGGTATGGAACAAAAAGTGACTAGAGTGCCCTGCAGTGAATGAAGAGACGCCGTGTACATAAAAACTGGTCTATCACAGGAAACGTTCTCCTTCATAGCAGCCGCTGCACTAACTTCACCAGGGCAAAAAGCCTTACCATACAAAGCGCAAAAAGCCTCATATAGTCATTGTACGCTCAGCAGATTTTGGCAGATTCAATTGAATTTAGAGTCTTTCGGACTAAAATCTTGATGACTTTTCGAGGGCACTGACAATTCATGAACATTCCTGGAGCGTTGCATTCGTAATTGCCAGATAATTTAATGCACAATGGAAAATTGTACACAAGGCAGGACTCAAATTCAATAAACTTCTTCATCCTAGACGCCGTCATCCTATTAGGACCTTCCATCTCATGATGCTAGATCAATTACTGCATCGCATGCACGACTGTTGTTGACCTGTACTGCTATCAGATGTTCTCCTCAATGCATAATTCCAGCCTTACATAGTCGACGGTGTTCTGTAAAGAAAAGACAGTGTTCTGTTGCTTCAAAACCGTGCAATTAGTATGTAGTTCAATGCAGTTCATGTTCTTATAATAGGTGTTTGCATATTGAAAGACATTTTGTCATGCTGTGAACGCACTTTGAACTCTCACGTTTCAATTTGTCTGTAAAAATATTCTACTTTTTTGCCTATTAAATTAAATAATTAAGCTTGTATGACTTCTTTAAATTACTAGTATTACTCAGCGATGAATCCATTTATCAAACACTTAACTTTTCATGTCCATTTTGTTTCATTAAGAATTTTTCACCGTCTGAAGATATTTTTTAAGGAGGCCGTCGTGATCACGGCCAACGATGGAGGAAATTACCAGGCATAATTACCATGCATAAGGCTCAGGTTTTCTCCAGCCACAACTTTCACTAACAAGATTTATTTCATCATGGCAGTAATTAATATAATTCGTTCTTATGGCATTTCCCTCAACACATTAGACATGCGCAATAAAATTGATTCACTCACTTTGCCCTGTAGACTGAGAACATCAAATGACTTTCTTCTGGAGTTTCTTTAGGCACTTTCATTTTTTCTCCCATCGAGACTGAACGAAAGAAAAAATTTCTTGCACCTTCTTGATTTCCGTTAGCGGTAAAGAAACTCCATCAACATACCGAGACATGTAGGAGCGAGTTGCTCCTTTATTAGAGGAATAACTCCATGAGGAATATGTATTCCTTTATTCGAGGAATAATTCAACGAAATAAGTAAATTAATAAGATATTTTGTTCATGCGGTGGTCATTAGTTCATTATAATTTTTTTAGTCTAATCCGCACATGAGAGAAAAATTTTCTCATAATCTGTTTCTTTTGGTGATAAAAAGCTTTCACTTTTTGCTGTGGGCAGGGAAACCCTGTGACGAACAAGTGTAATATAAGATAAAAAAGCGTTCAGTAAAAAACTGAAGGCTGGAACCTTTCACTCAAGGTCGCACGACACATATGTTCTTTTGTATGCCTGACCATAACTATGATAAGAAATGTTTTTATGCAGAGCACCATGATTAATATATTGATTTATAATGGTATTTGGTGAACTCAATGACTTAATCAAATCGCAGCAGTTCTAATAGCACAATTAGACTCGTGCATATTTCATTTGAAGATTTCCTTGCTGTTCAGCCGATCAAATAAAAAATTTAAGCCGTTTTGAATTCAGATCATGATTCATTCAGTTAATTATTGGACAAATTTAACAGTTCCTAATATGATTTAAATGATTAAGCACAATTAACGTTGCTAGAGCACAAAGTATGCTCACTATTTTTGACTTGCAGCTTTGTTTCATTTGCGATCGATCGAAATACATCAAATTATAACACAAACTTCCAACAATCTTCTCCAGAATTCCCATTATAATTATTTTTTGTTCATAATTTAAATAAAACATGAATTTAATAAATGAATCAAAATTTGAATGAACGTTCTGAATCTTTTTGCCACCAGTTCGCAAGAACAAAATTAAATAAAATTGCCAGAAATTAGTTATTTAGCATGAATTTCTTTTGGATAGCATACTCATTGTATAGTTTTGTTACAATATTATTTTACCTAACTTATTATAGTATATATAATTTTTCTCATAGTGCAGTCTCAGCGTTCGATTTTGTTACAGTGTTCAATTGTACATTTCGGGCTACCAATTAAGTAGCTAGTATATTATTATTGATGAATTTGAAATAACTTTCATATATGAATATATTATATTATTTGATGAAGCCTAGAATTAGTTTTTCAACTTCCCCTTATACGGATGATATGTTAACAGGAATACCTTGCTCTATCCCTGTTGTCTTGGAAACCACGTAAAAGTACTATACTTTTTTTTTTGTGTGGAGTTTTTATGAATATTTTTCCGTTTACTATATTAAGCTCATTAAATTAAGTTCGGTGCAGCAAATGACGTCCAGAGTTCATGTTCTATGACCCGATGTATGTAGCGACGCAGACTTGACCTTGCTTACCGCCCACATCTACAGCTCAGCTGGGCCTATGCTTTCAAACAAAGTTAAGAGATCATAAGTTCATCAGCCAATCATTGACGGCCTGTCAAGCAAAATCCACCAATCATAGACAAGAAAATAGTGCGTAAGTACAGTACTTACGTTCACTTAGCGAGTTTTGAAAGTTTAGGCCAGGCAGAACAGAATTAACGTCATTTTGCGACAAGCTCGCAATGTTTGATATGTCTCTGGGTCTTATAACAGCGCCTCGTCCAGCAGCGGCGACTGAGTATAACGATGCGCATTCCTTCTTTGCTTCGGCGCGTCTTAGACAGTCAAGCCCGACGTGCATAGAATATCTATGGAATATCGGTGCCGTTAATAAACTGGTTTACGTACATAATCTACTATACATGATAAGGCTGGCATCGACCATACCTAATATGAGTATTGCGCAGCAATTTATTTGTTCTTAAAATATTCGAAGCTTTTGAGTTTGCCATTCCGCTTCTGTGCAGGGTGCCACGTATTTGTCGCTTTCTCTTTAAATCCATTCGTTATCAGAAAATTACGGCATTATTTCCTTATTGACTGCATCTACGACAGTAGTTATATTTGCCGCTAGAAGCTGACTCATTTTCATCTTATATTTATTAAGTTGAGCAATAACAAGTTTATGCGTGAGTGATAGACACGCTCGTGCTGCACAGTTGTGAAAATTAAAGCGCGTCATGAATTTCGTTATTTTTTATCCTTCGATGTTTTAATTTGCAGTTTTTGGAGAAGTCTGTTGATAAACGTTCTCATTAAGCACATGCCATTATTTCATTTTCGTTCATATTCAACTATGTTTTTGTTGTATTATTTCCAAATAAAGTAAGGCCTTTAAAATATATATTCTGCTTATGTGGATATTTTCAATTTCATTCCGCAAATGAGAGATTGTCTTTTTAGGCTTATTTTGTAATTTGAGCGTGAGTGATGCGACAGTCATGCCTAAAAGAATACACACATTAATTTCTGTGCCTTTTCTCTATACCGTTGCTGAAATTGCGCAGTTTTTATTACTTGTTGAAGAGGATTCATTGTGACACATTCTTTGTATATCCTAACTGTGGAAGATTCCAATTGTAAAGAATTCTGACAGCTGGAATAATGGAAAAAACGTTTGTTGCAGCGACTGTTGACACATCACTGAGGAGATAAGTTTTTCTGTATCGCATACAATGCGTCCTCCACATAAATTTTACCAAATAAAGTGAGAGAAAAATCCCGATCATTCATCTCGGGTCTGCTACTTCTGGGATTTTTTGCACTCCTTTCTACCGCAAGCAAGTCAAGCAGCATTTTTGCTTTTCATCTATGACAACAATCGTCGTCGATGCATGGGGACTAGGACACTCCGTATGCATCCAAATACCAGGACAATCCAGGCTTTGCATGCAACCGATCTTCCGATGTTGCTGAAAGTCTGAAAAAGTTGAGGCAGATTCATGAGGAATTTGTATACGCTTGGTACAGTGTCAGGTAGAAGCTGCGACGGCTGGTTGTGCTTCTCAGAAAAATAAGGAAAAACCTGTTCGTCCCAGCCTGTTGAGCTCTCAAGGGAGAGCGAGAAGCTCTTATTAAGAGCCCCTCATTTCCTCGATATAAGAGAGTCGAGGAAATTCATCACATAATCTACCCTTTCGAAAAT